GTTTGCTTTTATATATGTGGTTTTGTACATGCGTTGTAATGTTGTTGTTGTGTTTTGTTTTGTTTTGTGCTTTTGGAGTCTCTTCTGTTGTATTTTTTAGTGTTTTATGAGTGATGGTCACTCGTTGGCCCAAGCGGTGTATTGTGTCCAAATTTGGTGTCAATTCATTCAGTGGTTTTAGAGTTATGTCCCACAAACAAACATTACATTTTTATTTATATAGATAATCCCCTGTATAAAATCCAGCTGTATAAAATCCACACAGAACTGGATTATATGGCAATGTGGACTCAAATAATCCTGTTCAAAGCAGATATTGTGGATTATCTGCCTTGATATTCTGGGTTGTATGGCTGTGTGGAAGGGCCCATAGACTCAGAGGTACCTTGATATGGTCGTATGATATACCTACAAATTGTGGCCAACACACAAACATGTCACAACACACAGTTTGGAAAGCTCTGTTGTAGCACCATACACTGTGCATGGCAACCAAAACAGTGCATACTGCCCATATGATCTGAAATATATACATAGGGGAAAGGGGGAATAACAAATCATAGTTGTATGCAACTGCAAAACAAATCATCCAGATAAAATGCAAAAACTAAATCAAGCCAAAAACACAATATAATGCAAAGGAAATTGGCTAATATGTGTAAACAGAATATACAACAACATGAAACTGGGGATAATGGGGATTATCTGGAGGACCTTTGATCACCCAACCACATCATCAAGCATCTCTAGTCCATACCAGAGGGAGAAACATACGAAAAAGGGGAACAAGCAGTGGGCAGCCTGCAGGGATCTGTAAGAGTAATTTTTAAAAGGACATCTACATAAGAGAGTAGAAGATCCTCCATGTAAGAACTGGACTCATGCTCAGAAAGGAAGGCCAACGGTGAAAAACTGAAATGCTCATTAAGCTGGTCATTGGCCATAATAAAGTGAACTTGAACTTGAAATGCCCATTCAGGGCCAAGCCCTATGCTCCAAAATGACACACTTCACGTTTCCACCTCTCCTTTGCCTCTGGAGGTGGCTTTGAGGTGAGCCAGGTGGCAACACTCCGAAGGCTAGAATTAGCCCTGTGGTGGTTGATCCACAGACAACATGCTAAAATCTGTACAAAATGAAAGAGTGCTTAACATCCATTAAAGAAGGCGACCTGATCATAGTCCTACAAAAGGACTGCCAGTGTGAAAATTGAAGACTTGTATGCCTCTAATGGTTGTGGAGAAGTGGGAATTTCAGGCAGGTGTTTTTACCTAGTTGTGTGACAATACCAACTGAAATGTCCTCTTCTAGACAGCCATGACAGGTCCAGGCCCATTCTCCAATATTCAGTCTGCCAACACTGTTTCTCAGGCATTTGCTTCATATGTTGGTGAACACATTTTTTCCAGGTCAGCCTCACTTTCATGGCCCTCTAGGGCAGGCTACTTTCAAAATAAAGCATAACAAAAGGGGAGGGGGAAGTAGCCATCAAGAGCTTATCTCTGCATCATGTAAAGGGAGACAAAGAGAATGAGGTTTTGGGAGAGATGGTAAGGTGAAAGATGAAGATTGCTGCTTGCTTCACCTTTCCTAGGGAAGCTTGGTCACAGGCTGGACAAAGGGATCAAAACTCCCAACTTCCCATTTTCATCAAGGCCATTTAAGATAGGAACACCATCTGTATCCAGATAAAAGGTTGTTTCCTCATTACTGCTACCTCGGAGGGAGAGGGACTGCATCACACTGAAACAGGGAAGTGTTTGGTAGAGGAGAGCTCAGCCATACACAGTTTTGAAAAGAAATGGATGATTTCCCTACTTTCATCACACTTTTCAAGGATGATAAAACATCAAATCATCCGGGTATCCCCTGGGCAACGTCCTTGCAGATGGCCAATTCTCTCACACCAGAAGCGACTTGCAGTTTCTCAAGTTGCTCTTGACACGACAAAAAAAATCACACTGTTAAATGTATCTGTGTTACTCCGTTGTATTCAGCATTCTTTCAGTAGATTTGCCATCACACTGTAATCGCTAGGGACTGCCCAACATCCTTCACCCCTGTTCTTTGTGGGGGAAAAAACCTCCACTTTTTGAAATGTCAGCTGTTTGTTATTGTTGTTCATTCATTCAGTCGTTTCCGACTCTTCGTGACCTCATGGACCACCCCACGCCAGAGCTCCCTGTTGGTCGTCACCACCAGCAGCTCCTTCAAGGTCAATCCAGTCACTTCAAGGATCCCATCCATCCATCTTGCCCTTGGTCGGCCCCTCTTCCTTTTTCCTTCCATTTTTCCCAGCATCATTGTCTTCTCTAAGCTTTCCTTTCTTCTCATGATGTGGCCAAAGTACTTCATCTTTGTCTCTAGTATCCTTCCCTCCAATGAGCAGTCAGGCTTTATTTCCTGGAGGATGGACTGTTTGGATCTTCTCGCAGTCCAAGGCACTCTCAGAACTTTCCTCCAACACCACAGCTCAAAAGCATCGATCTTCCTTCGCTCAGCCTTCCCTAAGGTCCAGCTCTCACATCCGTAGGTTACTACAGGGAATACCATGGCTTTGACTAGGCGGATCTTTGTTGCCAGTCTGATGTCTCTACTCTGTACTATTTTATCGAGACTGGACATTGCTCTCCTCCCAAGAAGTAAGCGTCTTCTGATTTCCTGGCCACAGTCTGCATCTGCAGTAATCTTTGCGCCTAGAAATACAAAGTCTGTCACGGCCTCCACATTTTCTCCCTCTATTTTCCAGTTGTCAATCATTCTTGTTGCCATAATCTTGGTTTTTTTGATGTTTAGCTGCAACCGAGCTTTTGCGCTTTCTTCTTTCACCTTGATTAGAAGGCTCCTCAGCTCCTCCTCGCTTTCGGCCATCAAAGTGGAGTCATCTGCATATCTACGGTTGTTAATGTTTCTTCCAGCAATTTTCACCCCAGCCTTGCATTCATCCAGCCCCGCACATCGCATGATGTGTTCTGGATACAAGTTGAATGTCAGCTGTTAGATGTCTTCAATTCTAAAAACATGGAAGCAGAGAGGGAGGGAAAGCACTGATGCTTGCTCTCTCTCTCTCTCTCTCTCTCTCAATCTCTCTCTCTCTCTCTCAGCTGCCCCACAGAGAAGGGTGTGGACCTTGGAAAACTATAACCCCCAGGACTGCATAGTATGGAGCTATAGTATTTAAAGTATTCAAAATACCTATCCTATTTCACCTTGTCATGCCCAGCATTTTTTAACAATTTTAATTATTACACTTGGCCCTGCCATAGGTTCTTTTAATGCGTCGTGGTGTTATTCTTAATGTTTACTGCTTGTTTATGACGTTATTTATTGTTGTATTGTTGTTTTTACTGATGTATTTGGGCTCGGCCTCTTGTAAGCCGTACCGAGTCCTTCAGGAGATGGTAGTGGGGTACAAATAAAGGTTTATTATATTATTATTATATAATCCAGTTCAAAAAGCAGGAAATCTGGATTTGATATTGCAGTGTGGAAGGGGCTCCGGTCCTTATTCAGGCTATAGTATGTGTGTCAGCTCTCTGTCCCCAGATTCTGCATCTATGGATCCAACCTTCCATGCCTTGGTATATATGTATGCAGGGGCGGCTAGTCCATTACGCGAAGTACGCGGTCACAGAACACTTTTTTGCCAGGGGCGCAGAGGCGCCTCTGTAAATGCCCCTCGACTGCTACTTGAGGAGCTCCCCCTCAGCTCACAACAGCCCTAGCAGTCCGGGGGGGGGGGGGAGCCTCGGCTTTCTTGCCTCACTGCTGAGCGATTCTCTTTCCAAAGGGGCCGGGCCCTTGAGCCTCGCCTAGCCCCTCTCGTTCCTGCTCCACCCGGCTACTGGGTGCGTGAGCAGAGCCGGCGCTCAATCGTTCACGTTCGATCCCTTCCCCATGACCGACTCCCTTTCCCGATCCCCCGACGCTCCACCCGCCTCCTCTCCTCTCCCCAATCCGCGGGTGGGCCAAGGGGCGGAGCTGCCGCGCCTGGCCCGCTTCGGCCTGTCTAAAACCCCCAAAAGTCGCCTCTTCTCCTGACTTTCTCTTCAGCCATTGGGACCAAAAGAGAGAGAGAGCTCCTCCGGCTGGAGGTATCTCCCACCTCCGCTCCCTCCTTTGTTTTTGCGCCTACCTTCAGGAAAGGTGGGCATCTCCACCTCTGACTCTCTCTCTCTCTCTCTCTCTCTCGGTCCCAATGGCTGAGGAGAAAGTCAGAAGAGGTGACTTTTGGTGCACATGCCGGGGTCTTCAGGCATGCAGGCCAGGCAAGGGAGCAAGTGTGGCAAGTGTAGTAACTGGGATGTATAGTTCACCTACAATCAAAGAGCATTCTGAACTCCTCCAATGATGGAATTGAACCAAATATGGCACACAGAACTCCCACGACGAACAGAAATATATATATCAATGATTGGTTGGGGGGGGGTGTGCCAAAATACTGTTTGCTTACCATTGAAAATTACCTAGGACCGCCTCTGTATGTATGTATGTATCTGTATTTCAAAAATTCAGACAGCAAACCTTGATTTTGCCCTTTTTCCAAAGGGTGGCCATTTTCCTCTGCCATTGCACTGACTGGAGCATCCATGGAGTGTGGTATCGAAGGGGAGGGGGCGTCCTTGGCCTGCAGACACCAAGGTCCTGTTGTGTTTCTGAACCCAACACAGCCAAGCCTTGTTTGCGTGTGGTCCAGCGATAAGGCCCTCTGCCACACCAACGAGGCTTAAGGCGGCAGATGGAGTGCTGCGGGAGGGAGGGGGAGGGCGGCACGCTGCCATTCACGCTTTCTTCAACGATGACAGCATGCTTCTCCGCTGCGGGGAGGGGCGCGCTTCCCCACGCTGCGTCCAGGGGGCGCTGTTGGCAAAACAAAAAAAAAAGGGATCCGCCCACAACTCCCTCCGCTGCAGTCTTTCCTGTCCCTTTAAGCCTCCGATCACGCCCCCCGGCCAATCAGGGCGCTGTAGCGGCCGGAACGGCGTCGGGGCGCGTCCAATGGGAGAGTCCGCTGCGGCCACTATTGTTGATGAGGCAGCCTCCTCGCGAGGGTCTCTCTCAGTGAGTGTCGATGCGAGGAAGAGGAGAGGACGCGGCGGAGGGGGAGGCTGAGGCGGGGGGCCTTGTTTTTCTCCTCCGCCATTGACGGTCTCCCTCAGAAAATGTCTTCCCACCCGCGAGTGAGGCGCAGCGGCTCGCCAGGAGGAGGGGGAGGAGGGGCGGCGGCGACACCGTCGGCACCACTCGCGGCGGTGGCGGCCTCGAGCACGAGCAGCAGCCGCCTCCAGCCCATGCGGGCCACCGTGCCTTTCCAGTTGAAGCAGCACGGGAGCCCCACCAGGAGCGGAGGCAACGGAGGAGGAGGAGGGGAAAGAGAGCGAGACAGAGCGGCAGCAGGAGGAGGAGGAGGCCTGCCTCGCGCGGCTGTGGCAGCGGCGACGCCCTCAACGGCCAACACAGCCCCGCCCTCGCCTCGCGCCGCCAGCCCCACGCGACCAGCGCTTGGCAACGGCGCGCGCGGAGGGGGAGGAGGAGGAGGAGGGGGCAGCAGCAGCCCCGCTGTGGCCACGCAAACGCCCGTCGCCGCCGTCGCCGCAGCCTCCTTATCGCCCAGCCCCCCGCGCCTGCCCCCTCCTCCACCTCCTCCGCCGCTCGGCTCCACCCCGTCGCCCTGCTCCTCGCCGGTCTCCCCGCCGGCCCCCGAGAGCAGCGCCTGCTCCTCCTCCTCCTCCCCCGCCGCCGGGGCCTCCTCCTCCTCTTCGGCCGGAGGGGGGCGCGTCCGGCACCGACAGCGCCGCCGCTCCCCCGAGCAGAGCCGAGCCTCGCCGGAGAGGAAGAGCCCCAGCTCCCCCGGCGCCAAAGGTGGGTGCCAGCCGTCAGGAATGGGGGTCAAGCAGGCCTGGGCGAACTTGGGCCCTCCCTCCGGGTGTTTTGGAATCCCACCATCTCTTAACACATTTTGGGATCCATGGGAGGTCTTGGAACCAAACCTCAGTGCATAGCAAGGGCCAGGCATGTAGCCGGGGGGGGGGGGGCGGGGGCTTCAGCCCCCCCAAAATTCTCATGGTGGTTCATGAAAAGGCCTTACTGGTGCATTATTTAAACTGTTTATTCATATCATGATCTGATCACCATACTCAATATATCCCATAAGCATGGGGGTAATGGGGTAACAATACAAAAGGTTTGCTAGGGTAGACCCTCTTTCACTCAGACTCAGCCCCCCCTCCCCCGAATCGAAATCCTGGCTACGGGCCTTCTCATGGTGGTCTGCGAAAAGACCTTACTGGTACATTACTTAAACTGTTATGTTCATTCATATCATGATCTGATCACCATGCTCAATATATCCCATATGCAGTGGTTGCGAAAAGGCCTTACTGGTGCATTATTTAAACTGTTATGTTTATTCATATCATGATCTGATCACCATACTCAATATATCCCATATGCATGGGGGTATTGGGGTAACAATACAAAAAGTTTGCTAGGGTAGACCTTCTTTCACTCAGACTCAGCCCCCCCCCCCCCCCCCAAATTCTCTTGTGCTTGTGAAATGTTTACATAAAGTCTCTTTGAGTTTAATATCCTACCTTAACTCATCCACATTAGCAGAGGTGGCTCAACCCATTACGCAAAGTAAGCATTTGCAGTATAGTTAATTTTGCCCAGGGGCGCTCTTGAGGCGCTCTTGGGGGAAAATAGACCTTGAAATATGCGAGTTGTAGTTACTGGGATGTATAGTTCACCTACAATCAAAGAGCATTCTGAACTCCACCAATGATGGAATTGAACCAAATATGGCACACAGAACTCCCACAATGAACAGAAAATATATATCAGTGATTGGTTGGGGGGGGGGGCACCAAAATACTGTTTACTTACCGTTGAAAATTACCTAGGGCCGCTTCTGTCCATATGCATGGGGTTATTGGGATAATGATACAAAAGGTTGGCTAGGATAGATCCTGAGCCCCCCCCCCCCCCCCCCCCCCCGCCGAATCAAAATCCTGGCTATGGGCCTGCCAAGGGCCCACTGTATTCTCAAACTGACACAAGTGACATTGTATTGTCGAAGGCTTTCATGGCCGGAATCACTGGGTTGTTGTAGGTTTCTTTGGGCTGTATGGCCATGTTCTAGAGCAGTGGTTCTCAACCTGTGGGTCCCCAGATGTTTTAGCCTTCAACTCCCAGAAATCCCAACAATGAGTAATCCGGCTATAAAGCCCTAACTTACCTGTCCAAACATATCTCCCCTTACAAACCATCGAGGACCTTAAGATCATCTGGGGAGGCCCTGCTCTCAGTCCCGCCTTTGTCACAAGTACTCTTGGCGGGGACGAGAGACAGGGTGGTGGCCCCTCAGCTTTGGAATACCCTGCCTAAGGAGATCAGATCTGCACCCTCCCTCTTAACGTTTCGGAGGCAAGTTAAAACATGGCTGTTTGAGTAAGCATTTATAAATGCAGAGTAGCTAATATAGAAAATCGAATTGACTTGACAATGGAACTGGACAATGCTTGATAATGAGGAGACGCTAATGATATTGTTTTTATTGCTGTTGTGATGTTTTATATTGTTTATTGTTTTAAGTGGTATTATGTTTTTATGTATATTGATTTGTTGGAAACGGCCTTGAGTCGTCGATTGGCTGAGAAAGGCGGTATACAAATGCAGTAAATAAATGAATTTCTTGGAGTTGTAGACCAAAACACCTGGGGAGCCACAGGTTGAGAACCTCTGTTCTAGAGACATTATCTCCTGACGTTTCGCCTGCATCTATGGCAAGCATCCTCAAAGAACTCGCAAACACAGACAAGGAACGATTGCATCTCCATATCAACACCAGCCAGAAGATGAATTCCCAGGACTGGGACAAAATAGACAACCTCACCTACAAGAAAATGGAGAAAAATATGGCTGTCCACACCAACAGACAAAAACAAAAATTCCACAAAAGCCAACAGCAACAGCCAAAACCAGAACTGGATACGGACCATCATCAACCTGACAAACAGACAACTCTCTGAAAACAAGTATCCATTCTAGCAAAAGGAGGAAATTTTGCTGTAACCGCCACCAGTAGAAAACATCATCGCCAATGTCGAATCAGCAATTTACCCCCCCCCCCCAGAAAGAAGCAGAAGAAGGATCTGAAAAAGGCAAAACTTCCCCCCAGCAACATAACAAGGAAGGAAAGACAAGCCATCAGAGATCTCAACTCAGAACCAGATGTCATCCTTCTCCCAGCAGACAAGGGGAATGCCACCGTAATCATGGATACAGAACAATACAAAGAGAAGATCAGAAAACTTAAACAAGACCCAACTTCCAAAATAACCAGAAAAACCAACACTACCTCACAACCTCTTAAGATGCTTGCCATAGATGCAGGCGAAATATCAGGAGAGAATGCCTCTAGAACATGGCCATATAGCACGAAAAAACCCACAACAACCCACAAGTGACATGCTTTCCTCTGGAGAATCCAGGCCGTTTTGCAAGAGTCTGGGGTCCCTTCCACACAGCCCTATATCCCAGGATATCAAGGCAGAAAATTCCACAATATCTGCTTTGAACTGGGTTGTCTGAGTCCACACTTGGATAATGTGGGGGTTTTCTGCCTTGATATTCTGTGATAGAGGGCTGTATGGAAGGGCCCTGGGTAGACATTCTGCTCTTTAACCAAACCACTGATCCCAAGAGCCCCCTTCCTCCTCTCCTTTAAAAAACAACTGAAGACCTACTTCTGCTCACTAGCATATGGAGAGGAGAAGCATTAGATAATAAGATCACTAGATCGCTACCAGGCCCTGGTTGAGAACTATTTTGTATTTGGACTCTGCCAGCTCATGTCAGCCCAATTACCCTCATTGACCACAGAACCAACCCACACTACTCCCTGAACTCCAGTTGGCTTCTGTAAATTAAGGTTGGATGTTTGTTCAGATTTTATGTTATTTTTTTATCTGGCTACATATGTTCAATTTATTGATGTTAGGTTTAATTTGATGTTAGGTTTTATATTGTTTTCGTATGTGGGGTTTTCTGGGACTTTATGTTGGTATTTGTTTGTTTTAAAGAGACATTAAATGTTTGTCGTTGTATGTTGCCAACCACTGTGAGTCCCCCTGGAGAGATAGAGTGGAATACAAATGAAGTTTGATTATTATCGTCATTGTTCCCATCAACCTAGCTTGAGATGGAGGTGGGACTGAGAGAGGGGCCTCTCCTGAAGATCTCAGGGACTGGGCAGGTTCGTACAAGGGGATGCAGTCAGCAAATAGCCTGGATCTGAACCGTTTAGAGCTTTAAAGGTCATAACCAGCACTCTGAACTGTGCCTGGTAACAGACTAGCAGCCAGTTGAGCTGCTGCAACAGGCGGGTTGTCCGCTCCCTGTAGCCAGCCTCAGTGAGCAACCTGGCTGCAGCTCTTTGTTCTTGTTTTTATCATCCTTATACCGTCCACCTATATATTATCTATCTATCCAGGGTGAGACAGATCCTTATGAATATTTTGAGCAATGGGAATTATATAATTCTTCCAAAAGGGGCCACAAGGCAGGTGCTTCATACCAATTCATTCATACATTGTTGGGAAGCTCCATGTGAGGCATATTCGTGTGTTTTGTCTCATGTTTTGCTATCTCGACTCTCAGGTCTGTACTGTTTCTACTCCGTTGCCTTTTCCACCATTACTTAGTTTGGAAGGACCATCCAGGCCAACCCCATTCTGCCATGCATAAACGCACAATCAAACTACTCCTGACAGATAGCTGTCCAGCCCTCAAAGAAGGGGATTCCACCACATTCCCAGGAAGTATAGTCAACTGTCCAACAGCTCATGGTTCAGGCCAAACAACTAATTTAATCAAACAGTAGAGAGTGAATTAATAAGACATATTCAGCGTGTTCTATTAGGTGCCCCTTTTCACCAAACCAACACTTGGAAACAATCACACCAAACTTTAAAGAGCAATAAAAGATGGCATTTTCAAGACATATTTCTTAATTTGGTTTATTCAAATTAAGCTTTCCAAAATGTGTGCCCTGATACATTAATGCATCTGCTGCAGTGTAGGTGTGTCGTATGGAACCTCTGAGTCTATGTAAAATAAGCAATAAATCATATTTTTTAAAAATGTAAATGAAAGGTTTTCATGAGCAATGTTGTGTCCCCATGCATTTCGATACTCCACTTTCTATTTGTGTCCATATCTCTTATAAGGGGTTGGGTTAGCCTCTGGTTTGCTAGTAAAACTGAACTGTGTCACCAAATGATGCATGTCTCAAAAGTGTGTCTTCAACATTAAATGTTTGGAAAGCTCTGGTTTAGGGTATCCTTGGGGTGTGTGTGTCTTTCTGTTTGAGGGTTAGGAAGCAGCAAATGCTGGGCTTGAGAAGAGGGGCGAATGAAAGAAGTGAATAAACAGGTCTAGACATGCCTGAAGTGAATATAGTTGTAACACTCAGCCACTAGTGCTTTCACTCTCAACAGGTATGAAAGGCGACTGTCACAGTCAGCCCTCTGGATCCACACATCAAACCATGCAGTCATTGAATAAAAACATAAAATTCCCATGCCCCCAAAAGCAAACCTTGGTTTTACTTTTTTATATAAGGCACACCCATTTTCTTCTGCCATTGCATATAATGGGTCATCCCCTGACTTTTGTATCCACGGGGGTTCTGGAACCCAACCCCAAGGGATACCGAGGGCCCACTGTGTCCTCTTCAGGGAAAGAATTTATCCTATACAAACGGGGGTTATAGAGGTGGAAGGAAGCCTGCAGTTTGACAACACTCCCAAGCCTCTTGAGTGTGGCCTTTTACCAGACAACTTCCTATCTCATCTGTTTTG